AAATGGAAAACTTACATAAATAAAGATATACTGGTGCTGAATAGTCTTGTATTATAGTTCTGTCCTAAAACGTAATCTTAACGTAAACAAGATGGCCGCTCCTACTGAGCCGGTCAGCGGTATCTAACTCGTGTCCAGGCCCTAGTGGCCAGTAGAGAACTCTTCAAATATAATGAATATAACTCTAATAAATGGTCTGCATTTTAGAAGACTCATATTAACTATATAGTCTTGATCACAAAGAATTCAAGTCATAATATCTCTGCTTTTTTCCAAAGATAAATTAAAATTTCTGTGAGCCTTATAGTGAATATTACCAACTCATGTTATTAATATAGATCTGGACTAGGGTTGCGTAAGAGTCCTGGGCCTTACTGGCTGTAGGGATTGTATGACATATATAAGACCTCTGGTATATATATTAACCTATAGCATCACAAGATCACATCAAGAAAGCTATCATTAGAGCTAGAATTACATACAAGCTTTTCATTGCTATCAGAACACATTAAATTCCTGCTAGTCTATCTTGTTTACCCACCCCGCAACCTCTCCTACTCCTATGCTTGAGTACACTGTGTTTTAGATATAAAATCATAATTAAAGCACGGTTTTTCTCTTACCTTCTTCCATTTCTATCAGTGATAGGTTTGGGTCCTGGCTAACAGGATTGTACTCTGCGCTTTCCACCGCAACACTCTTGTCTGACTTTCTCACTTTGTGAAATTTCATCGTTAGGATTACAACGATAATAATCAGGACAATAACTAGTGCAATTAAGATGACAACACATACAAAAATCCAAGGGTTCTGCATATTTACGAATCCATTTTGTGTGGACTGCTGATGAGGAGTGGATGAATGATTCTCATAAGCTGCAGTTGTCACAACCATCGTCACAACCATCATTCCACTATCTGATTTAACAGATGAATTGATGGATTTTAACAAAGACCAAGGTGTCTGGTTCTGTTTGCCTGATGAAGTTGTGGTATTGCTGATGGAAGATGTTGCTACCAATTTTGTTGTAGGAATACTAGGACAGCCAAAGGGTCGTGCTTTACAAAGATTATCTAAATAGCAATTTGCATGGGTTTCATCTCGTCCATCATGGCAGCATTTTGCACATTTTATGCAATCAAATAAAGTGTTCTCTAAGTAGTAGCCAGGCGCACAGTCACCACAGATAGAATTTCTAGAAAGACTACAATTTTGTTTCACAATTCTATTCGAACATCTACTGCAAGAGACGCAGGGCTTTGTATTAAAACCATCAGAGAACTTCCCATTTGGACATGGAATGCATTTAGCTTCTGTTCCAACATATGCTTTAGTACCACAAGGGATTGAAAACTCCTGCGAAGAAGGACAAGGCTGACATGGTGTACATCCAACAAGTTTGTTGGTTGTTTTTGAGATCCATTTTATGTCACTGGCCTTTGGACAACTCATTTCGGCTTTGCTTACTTCAAGCTGAAGATGAAGTGAAGAAGAAGAATCAAAAGTCAAACTGTGACAATAACCATTAATTACGAAATTTTAAGATTATTACACAAATACATGTTTGGGATATTTAACTTGTGGATTGAACATTCGTCCTTTGTAGAGATGGTATTGGCAGACTGATAGATAATGTTGATGTAATACTGAAAAATGTCATACTTACATTCACCAGAATAATCGCTAGAATCATCAAAGCAGCTGGCACGCTATTCGGTTTTATACTTCTGGGTTTCGTAGTCAGCTCTTCAACGACTATCTGTTTATATTAAAGTAAAGATAATTATACTTTCAAATTTGGTCATCGTAATATTGGCAAAATCACTGGCTTGCTCGTACACATACAGTTTCGTTGTCGATCTCCGACTTTTCTTTTCGCGATTCTCGTTCCCTGGACGTATTCAGTTGCCTTTTTGATTTTTCAGCCTTCATTTTTTCTTCAAATGGAAAAAAAATCCTTTGATATCTTTCAAACTCTGATATAACTGTATTTCGCAACTCTGTTCGCATTACGCTAGGGGTTTTTCCCTTATACTGTACATCAGTACTATCAATAAACATATTTCGCTCCTCATCTCCCACGGTCAAAATAGGCAAAGGAACCCCAACCCATTTAAATTGTATCAAAATGTTCCAGCATTTTACGGTTCTCTCATACCTAAATTATGAAACAGAAAATATTACTATTAGTTACTTTCGAATCTTTGGAGGACCTTTGGATATGGCAGTAATTTACTTGTAAGTACTTTGTTTGAATGCATAATTTGTTCTTTTTAACATTCAAACTGAAATATTTACAAATATAACTAAAAATCACTACTGTTACAAAAACGTTTGACATCCAATAACAACTTTAATCACTTTTTAAAATAGTTATTATCATTTATTTATCTTAATTTTATTTTTCTACCTTTTGTTTTTACTCTAAATGTGACTCTGAACATCACACACATTATTTGGTCCAATACTTACTATATGCAGCTACTGTAACGATGGCCACACTTAGGCCTAGGGCAAACATCGAACTTTCCATGCACCGAAATTAATTCCCACAAAGAATGCCGCCTCATTATCACCTGATATCCATTGTTTTTAATGAGTTCAGTGCATGGAAAGTTTGACGTTTGCCCTAGGCCTAAGACAGTTAGAAAAGAGAACCAATTTAAATGTAGAATGAAAACAATGCATTCCAACTTTAGGTGGTGGAGCCAGTAAACAACTAGACAGTCATCTTCCTTTTCTTGTGGGAACAGAAAGATATACTGAAATGCTATTGTTTTCTGCTGCTTTCTGATTGGCTCCACTACATAAAGTTGGAATATATTGTTTTTATTCTACATTTTAATTGATTCTCGCTGTCAAAGTGGCCCCAGTTATAGTAGTCACACTGTAAACCACGTCTACAAAATAAAATTGAATGATAAGTGTAGAATACTCAAAAGAATATTGATAGAATATTTGTCTTTTAGACTAACAAATATAATTGCTTAAGTTTGTAGCAAACCAGGAAGCCTACAGATATACATTATGGGGGACTGCTGTGATTATGAACATCTGGAAGAATAATTCTTTGGAACAGAAAACAAATGTGTAGAGTACAAAAGTTGCATAATTTATAAATCTTTACTACTAGATATATTGGTAAACAATTTGACTAGTGGTAACACTGATTTCTGATTCTTTGCTTGTATTACCTCCTCTACTAACAAAAGCTATCCACCAAAGAAGCTCTTCATAACTACATAACTATTGAATATTTATAACTACAAAATACTTTAAACACGTTTGTCCATAATGGTAAGCTTCTCCATTGAAGGACCTCTCCACAACTCTTCTTCTGGGGAATTGAGCACATTTCCAGAGGGAGTGACAGGAGGAATGTCATGTGGCTCATCCTGAGGAAACCCATATGATGGCTTGTATTTGCGACCCTGAAAAAAAACAGTTAAAGAAAATATTGGTCCTTTCTCTTGGGGAATATAATCATTTTCCAATTCAGACCCCTTGTGATTCTCTTACAAACAAGATTCTTTTTTTGAGTTACAGCAAAGTACAGTTGTATCTACAAAATTCATACATTTATGTTTATGTGTCTTCTCATGTGCAAGCATTAAACAAAGAAATGATACTCTAGGGACGAACAACATATATTTGAAATGGGAAAGCATTTGCTGTAATGTAAAGAGGTCTTTTGGTTTTGTGAGAGAAGAGGAAGTAATAATAGAAGAATAACATGACATACCAGTTGAGAAACCCTAGATGTTCTTCTGATCAAGTTTACATGTCTTGTTTTAGATGTACCAATTGCTGCACATCTGACAAACATTGGAAGCCATGTCTTGGGAATAGAAAAGATAATCTGTGCCCAGATAAGCTCTGAGAAACCAAGAAAGAGACACCATAACCACATTTTTGCATCCATCCCAGATGTATGAAAAGCTCTTGTGAATACCTCAACTATCAGTATCTGGAAATAGAGAATGTAATCTGAATATTATGATTCTTATACCAGTACGTACCAGAGTTGTTTGGAAGGTTAAAACATTATAATAAAACCAATTAATTAATATTTACAATTTAAACATATGCAAAACAATGTTTCTACAAAAAAGTCAAGTTTTTTGTTGGTACAAATTCTAATAATAGCAATACACACAGGAGGGCAAAGAGTAGATTAGGGGACCCGCCCATAAATCTTAATTTGAACAGCAAGGTCTAAAGGGATGCACACCTGAATAACAACTTGTCCCAACCAGATGATGACAAAGGCATAGTTTTTATGGATTCCTTTGAACACATTCCTGCCATGAATCTCCCTGGAATTGATCTCATTGAAAAGATTCATGAATACAAATGTAGTAAACACCAGGGAGGAGTGCTTTGTGGGAATGCAAAGTGTTTCTGGTGTGAAACCATCTTCTAAATCCATGAGGTCATCACCATGGAAAATCAACACAAAGGTAACAACTATTTGAAAAAGAATATGGCCAACAGTGTTACGGATAAGTGATCTACTAATAAGTGCTTTATGTCTGCCATAAGGTTGATGTAGGAGCAGATCATCTGTGGGAAAATCTCTAGTGAGGGCAAAGGATGCTAAAGAATCCATGATAAGGTTGATCCATAACATCTGTGTTGCAACCAAAGGACTTCTCTGTAACAAGAAAAAGTAGAGAACAGGTTGCTGGATATTCTGCAGTATTTTAGTAACCTTTATGATGTAGAAATTACATTACAACCTAACCAGAGGTATAAATACCATCGACTTGCGGGAAGCACTGGTGGCATACCCCGCTAATGCGCCGCCTCTCACCAATGCGGCCCGAGTTCGAGTCCTGCCGATCTCGATGTCGTATGTGAGTAGAGTTGTTTGTTGGTTCTCTCCTGTGCTTTGAGGGTTTTTCTCTGGGTTCTCTGGTTTTCCTCCCTCCTCAAAAATCAACTTCTAAATTCTAATTCGACYTTTGGGCTTTTACTTAGTTTGGAGCCTAGCTCTGTTGTGATTGTCCCAAGCTGTGATATGACAGCGAAAAGCTTTGTAGATTTTTTTTTTTCTAGACTGTCTTCATTTTCTCACTGGACTCTGAAGATGACTTCTGCGGTCCGACTTCTGCTCAGGTTGTCAAATGATCACACTTCACAACAAACTTTAACACCTGTGTTCAAATCATTTACTGTTAATGTAGAAATACTTACCCCAAAAATACAAACACCAATGACAATCACAATAAACGCAGACCAAGTGACTGTGAACTGGAACTGAAGGAATTTAACCACTGTATTGAATACATTCCTGCCCCACTTGATGGCCCAAACAATGCTACCAAAGTTGTCATTAAGAAGAATGACATCAGAATTGTCTTTAGCCACATCTGAACCAACAACACCCTGAGAATTAAAAGAATAAAAATCGTCAATAACCATATCTTTAATGATGTTTTAACATTTTTTTTCAAATATGGATTTTGTATGCTTCTAGATGTTATTTACTTTATGTTTGTTTTAAGCTTTCTCTTGTCCTAGACATCCTGTGTGTTCTCTGTGTGTGTGTTCTATATATATAGTATATGTTCCTGGTTTTCTAGGTGTTCTCTACATTCTGTGAGAAACAGACTGAATCTAATATATTCTATTAAATTTCACTATTTAAATCTAGCAAGTCTATACAGAAAGTATGTAAATGCTATTGTATTCACCATAGTAAAGCCAACATCTGCTTTTCTTAATACTGGGCCATCATGTATACCAGAACCAGTGACAGCCACAGTTTCACCCTGTGGTTTGACATGGCTTTCCATAATCCCTTTAACCAAGGTATATTTATCTCTGGCTGATGATCTGGCTAAAATACGAAGATTTGGCCACATGGCATCAAACCTGTCCTTGTTGATCTGTACAAATGAAATCCAATGTCTATTACTAATACAACAAAAATATGTCCACATATGCACTGCATTTATCCTTCACTTCACCCAATCCAATGATTTATGACTCTGGGAGGTTGTAATATAGTACATGTATTAAGTATTTGTCTCTCACTGGTTTGCTTTAGGGTTTAATTTCTTAGGCTGCGTTCATAATGTATGGCAGGAGGTGGGGGAGGCAGGTGAAATTTAGGGGGATCGGAAAAATGTTTACCAGTAAAATGGGAGGGGGGGGGGGTTGGAAATTTTTTTACTTCAAGGGAGTTTGAATTCTTATCATAATTATTTTACTAGTACATGTATATATATACACTGAGCTGCATCCTTAAAACCTGTGGAAGTTAGCATCAGTAATTTTCTAATTGGCTCAAAATTCAATCTTACCTGACCATCAGGGTCTCTAATGTACCTATTGAATTCAGAACCATGGTACATCAAGTTTTCCTGTTCTGGCTTAATTATCCCACATTTGATAGCAATAGCTCTTGCTGTGTTCACATGATCACCGGTCACCATACATACTCTGATACCAGCCCTGGTACACTTTGCAATAGCATCAGGAACCTGATCAAAAAAGATATGGTTTGTATTAAGCATGTGTGTTTAGCTTCTCATGCAAATCTACAAAACTGTTTAAAAAATACTAGTTATAGTATACAATGGTTTATACCATGGAATATACAACATATATATATACAAATAAACAAGAGGGTCATATCCATGGTACATTGTAGATGTTTATGTCTGACTCACAAGAAACAATTGTTCAAACAATACAAGTTCAAAAACTGACAACAACACTTATGAGGAAAACATTAGAATATCCATACAGTATTATGCATTTTGATTGGCTATAACTCCTGTCATATTATGTATATATATATAGGAAAGTGAGATTGAATACATACCTCCTCTCTTACTGGGTCTTCTATACCCATAACAGCCAGAAGAGTAAGATTAGATATCACAGATTTTTCATTTTCAAATTCTTTAGATTCTTAAAAACAAAAAAGCAGCACATTCACTAAGGATTTTGAGCAACAAGACATGCATACTACTCAATAAAATGTTACCTTCTTCAGGCACACTCTTGCTTGCAAGACAAAGAATTCTTAAAGATTCATCCTGCATTGGTTTGATAATATCCTTCTGAACCCTTTCCATGTCTTCACTATTAAATGGTTTGATTTTGCCATCATTTGTGTAAATGGAGGTACAGTTTGGAAGGATCACCTCACCAGCACCTTTGCTGTAGATCTTGTGCATTCCTTTCTCTGCTTTAGTTATAGTGGTCATGGATTTTCTTTCCGGAGTAAACTCAAAGAGTTTAGCATAGCTATCTTCAGGGTGCTGATCTCTCCATGACTGATAAGTTTCTCCCACATCAATAACAAATTGAAGGACTGCACAATCTGTCATGTTACCTGCTTGCACGGGCAGCTTGTCAGGACCTGCAGGAGGCTGGTTCAAAATTATACATTACAAATAAGTAAAAAGAAAAAACATACTTGGATATTTGTATGATGGAAACATGAGAAATGATTGGATGTGATTGATGGAGAGAATGATGGATAGGAATGGAATAGGATGGTTGGGGGGATAGATAGATAGGTTAACACCAAATAATAAAACAATCAATTACCAGTATCCTAGATGTATAGCTTGTGTTGATGGCAATCCCTTTGCACAGTTCATCAAACAGATTGCTGGGGATTCTACCCTTGTAGTTTCTTGGATCTCCGTCAAGTACTTGATCTGCTGTGTATAACTTTGTAACATGCATACGGTGTTCAGTCAAAACACCTGTTTTGTTGCAGCAAACATTTGTTATGTTACCCATGGTCTCTATGATGTCCATATGTCTAACCAAGCTTTGATTTTTGTACATCATTCTGGTGCAGAAAGTTAGAGCAAATGTGATTGCTAAAGGAAGACCCTCTGGTACAGACACAACCAGTACTACTATGCCCATGATGAAGGCTCTAATATATTCATTGATATGACCTGGATGGAACTGTAGCTTCCTAGTAGAGTATGTATACACACTGAATCTTATGATGATTACAACCATGGTTATAATAGCAATTGTTACCCCAATATAACCAAGGGTGACTGCAACTCTGTTTATTTTTCCTTGTAAAGTTGCATTATCTTCTTTGTGTTTATACAGCAGGGAAATGTTGTCGTGACTCTGGTCATCTTCCGATGATATTGCTATCTCCAGTTTTCTGGAAGGATTAATTGCCACTCTTTTTGTAGCAGCCTGTGCTGTCTTTGTAAACTGGCCAACAGCAAGCACTAGGAATCTTCCACTTCCCTGGGTTACATGGGTGGCTGCATATAAAAGTGGGTCACCAGTAGGATCTTTTTCAACAATTCCACCGGTATCCAAGCACATCTCATTCACAACCAAATCAGAACTTTGCACAAGGATTCCATCTCCAGGAATAACTGAACCAGATTCAATAACACACAGGTCACCAACTGTCAGATCAGTGCGATATATCTCTTTAATATCTCCACCTCTGATAACAATAACTTTTTGTTCATGCTTCACTTGTTTGTCTTGATATCTGAAGTCAGAATCTCTCAAGTAGTCACTCAATGCCGATATAACCATCATTGCAAGAACCATTACAAGAATTCCAATGCCTTCATACCATGCTACTTCTATTTTCACCTTGTCATTGCACTGTTCAGGAAATACTAGGCCAAGGATGAGGGATAGAACAGCTCCAATAGCCAGAACAATCAAAATCCAATCTCGCATGGCAAGAAAAAGGAAGCGGAAAAAATGTTTAGGGGGATCTAGAGGTAATGAGTTGGATCCAAATATTAGACGTCGATGTTCTAACTCATCATCAAACCCCAGCACTCCTTTCTTGGTAGAAGTATGCAGTTTGCGAATGATTGTGTTTATGCCATCAATGTACCTCTCATCCAAATATCTTGTAGCTTGAATGCCCTTTTGTTTCATTACTTCCATGAGATCTTCTTTCTCAATATCTGAGAAATCAGGAACTTGTTTATCTGTTTGGTCCACCATGATTGAAAAGCTTTCTATCTTAAATCAGATTTAAAAAATATGTCGTTTAATAGATTAGACATCTGCAAATAAATCAGCCCAGAGGCGATAATATTGTGAGTGAATTCAAAAGATACATCAACAAAGACTATATGGTGCCATCTTAGTTCCACTTACAGAGATATTGTTAGAAGCGTTTGTTAATGCCTAAATAAATTGGTTGAAACGAGACATTTGTAAATCAGCCACCTCCCTGCTGCGCGTTTCGTGAACAGACAAGCAGCTAATGATGAAAAACAATATGCTTATACTAGAGCTTTTGCATTAACGACAATATTTAACCATCTGGAGAAAAATAGTTGGAAAGCCACAAATTGGTTAATCAGCCTAAATAATGGAGCAGTCAAAAGTGAATAGTGCTTAAATTCCAACGCCACGCTAACAGATAAATGATCAACAAATGAAAACAACTAAAACGAAACCAAAAGCAGCTATAAATACATTCAAAAATATACCAAAGCAAAAACAATCTCGCTAGAGAAATTTGAAGAGTTTCTTCCATACCTTTTAACAGTTACAGAAGAAGAATACGAAGTTTTTAGATCTCGATTGTCTCTTCTTACTGAGTAAAACAGATAAATGTAGATAAAGGCAAATGATAAGTACAGTGCTTGGTAACCTAGCTATCTGCCCCTTACTCGACCAGGGGATGGGGGAGGGGGAGGTGGGGAGAGGGCGTGTTGGCTTTGGTTTATGGTTAATTATAGAAAAAAATTAAGTGAAAAAATAGTCAAGGGTTAGCCCTCCACACGAAACAATACGATTAAACAACACATCCTGCTATGCATAAAGGAAATATATATCAATGAAACTCCAACAAAACCGCTTTCAGCTTCAGCCCCGGAAGTGATTATTTTTTTATGAGGTGTTCTGAGTATTTAGTAATTTTTTTTACATTATTAGCGTCTATATATCTGTTACAAATATTTGTAACTAATTTGTAATTAAGCAGTGTCTCATATGTAATTTGTAATAGGCAGAAAGTTTAAAAGAACGTATCCTAGTTTTTGTAAAGCTATCTTAATGGGAGGGGGGTTGAGAGAGTAGCCTCCCAGTTGCATATCGGAAAAGCTCGCGATATCCCACTACACAGCAAGTTTACCAACCGACTCAATACGCCAGTCTCAGGTAAAGTATATTAGGAACCTAAAAAAAATGGTTTCTAAAGAAGAAACCTACCATAAACAGGCACTTGCATCAGAAAAGTAATTTCCCCTTCACTAGAGGAGAATCTACGATATTGAGTAAGCAAGTCAATAATTTACCTGAACTGGAACGACGAGTGTGCTATTGAACCGTGGTTCTCATCATGTGTCTACAAGACAAGACTAGCTGAAGTCTTTACAAGCAAGTGCTATAGATTGTTTGTAGAGAGAGTAGGGAGTCAATAAAATCATAACCCGATACTTCATCATGACGTCATGTTCACACTGGAGGGAATATTACGTGAAAGGTTATGGACTAATGAGAACTAATGTTATAAAAACAAAAATAAATGAACATTTAGCAAAAAAAGCTTGAAGATTTAGAAAGTTGAGTCTAAAATTTATTGTCGTCTTTATTAAAACATTTTGTCCAATCGAAACAGTAAATTAATTAAATTCATGGCTCTAACTTCCCTCAGTTGCTGTTTCTACGTCTCACCAGCTTTAACTTAGAAAAGATTTATTTTAAAAAAATTACAAAAAACTTATTATCTTAAAAGTCCTGTAAAAGTTGCCTCATAATTCTCGTAGTACCGTTCAAAACAGATCTAGTCAGGGGAGTAGCCAGAATTTTAAGAAGAGGGGGGGGGGGGGTGTGGGGAACAAATTCAACAACCGCCATTCAACAAAACTAGAATACGCAGTTGGAGAAACTGCTGCAACGGTGATTGGTTCGATAGTTAAATTGACTATGAAGGGCACCCATGGATACCATACAGAACCGAGAGCAGCTAAAAAAGTAGCACAAAACGTGATGTGATGAGCATGCATAATGAATGCACTTCGAGGAGTAATAAATATCCGAACCGATAAGTAGAATTCCAACGAAATGATCCACATTGGATACTCAAAAACCAGCTAATTATACATGATCATCATTTATTCACAAAACATACTCAAGTAATTTGTCCTCAAAGTGAACTCAATTTAATAAGATATACTCATAAATAATTTGTATCAACTATTAGTAGTACATTTGATCAATTATTTATCTAGCCGAGCACCAAGTAACGCAGCAGCTTTGCGGGAACATTATTATTTAGCATTTTTTTAATATATGTCACAATCACCTTGCTAATGACAATTTATGAACAATAGTCGAAATTAAATTATTGGATCATAAATCTAATACGGAGTATACGGATTATAATAGAATATTTACAATTCCTTTAGACAAGCCGAATTAATCATATGGATCTGTATGCAGGTGTATGCAATACCACAGGTAGCCCAATAGATACTTGTATCACATAGTATGATGTATTATCCGCAGTAGAAAAGGACAGCCAGAAGAAGACTAGTGACATTGGTACATAGTTACGTAATGTTAATGAGAATATCAGTTAATGAAAAAGGTTCCATATAATCCAAGCCATGGCCATATTTCATATTCCAATGCCGTCATCATCAAGAAATCACAAAGATCCTGATAGTTACAGCAGTGAATAACACATGATTTCTGATAAGAGTCTTCAGGGATTGGATGGCATCATACCCTTGTCACACTACCTAGTCAAAAGAAGAGCTTCAGTAAAGCTGAACCAGATAGAAAACAAAGAAAAAGATTGACACAGTTGTAGCAAATGGTTCACCCAAAAGAGTTAAGGGTATAGTTGAGTGAGGAGAGCATGATGTAGGAAAGAGGTTGGATTAGCATTGCATCGACATATTCGTGTGATTGAAGAAAGAAGAAAAAAATGAAGAAAAACTGTTAGATACTAAGGTGTACCAACAAATTGAATACTAAACGAGAGTGGGTTAATATTTAGCGTTAGATATTAGTAGATGAAATGAAATAGATCTTGGTCTGCTTAAAAGAGATAGGTAAAGGAGAGATTCTCAATCATATCGAACACTATACACCAATGCGGTACATTTGAATTTATTTGGTTCTAATAGCAAATAAAAAATACGTACTGTGCGTCCAAAAATCAGACCGTTTATGAAATTCAATGAAAACTAGTTTCTAATGTTCACTGAAGGATCTGACTGCTCCGAGTTCAATTGATTTCATAGCTACTAACAGAAAATTTGCAAACTGATACTTAAAAATTAACCAATTTACCACTAAAACAGGCGAAAAAACGTGTACTTGGAATTGTTCAAACCATTTTTGGAATTTGTATGCAATTTAAAGAAACTTCCAACAAAAATACAGCCCCATCTAAACTCCCCTACTCTTCTTACAAGAATGTTAATTATTTACTACCAATATGGGATATGGAAAACTGATTTGTTACGACTAATTTGTTGAATTAGTGTTACTGCACCGTGTTAATGGTTATGAATGATTATTTGGGTGAACGTGTCAGTACGAGAACAAACATCATATCTAAAAAAAGAACAAACTTTTCAGGCAAATACTCGTAATATTGGCCGTCATAACAGTAGACTGCTATGAAGGCATGAGTCTTTTCTTTACAAAATGAAAATATTAATCTTGTCAGAATCGATAACAGAATTACCGCCAAGAACTGTCGATCTGCAATTTTGCGAATTTTTATCTGCGTTGATAACAATCGAGTGGGACAGAGCACAGATGTTAATGACGTTTAGCTAATCCAATTTGTCGTCTTTACAAATAAAGACACCATAAAAAGCACCGAAATCATAACTGAAAATGTAAAGGTCTGATTTTCCCAAACCAAATTATTTTTTCTTTCTTTGGACACAACTGATATAGATTCTAATAAGCCCTGTTTTGTGTTTCCAAATTCCCTACGGCAATCAACTTGCAGTCCGTGATTGCCATATAGTAATAATAAATTTTGCTCAAGTACTGACATCGTCACCTATTACTGATTATCTTCCATGTACGACTATATGTGTATATATATGACTAATACATGATCTAAAAGGCTGTTTCGATGCTGGCATAACGAGGAGAATTGCCATCAGACCTGTCTAATGAATACTGATTTTCATCAATAACCATAGCTGTGCGCACAGGCGCAAGAAGAGAGTTGAATACGGCTGGTGAAGCAATGGCTCTTTGACTTCGGCCATCGATAACGCTGCGGAACGCGTTCACAACACGTATCTAGAAGAAGAAAGAACAAATTAAAGATATTCCCATCATCCATCTCAAAAGCATAGAATAGGACTAAAAAACACACACCTAATAAAGTTATACAGCATAAAACGAATGTTACCTGATGCTGAAGTCGAGTAAGACCACGAATCCATAATATCCTAGCACGGCTGTCCCTGGCTCCATCAGGTTCAACGATTGTAGCCAAAGGTACCCCTCCCCTACCAAAGCGACAAAGCTTGGGAAAGGAGTTCTTAGGGATGGTAAGAACTAGCTGTCCCCATATCAAGGAACTGAATCCAAGAAAAACTGTCCACATCCATTCTTCCCAAGTAAGACCATGTACATGGAAAGCCTTTCCTGTGAACTCTATCAGCAAAATCTAAAATAAAAAAAGATATACATACGTTTAGATTAATATTTGATTGAACTGATTATTTTATAATAATAAAGTTAATATCATACCTGGACAATAAATGTGCCAACAAATATTCCAACAAATATAGGATTTCTAAAGATCCCCTTGAATACGTTTCTTTCTCCATGCACCATACGAGAGTTGATTTCATTGAAGAGCTGCATCATTACAAAGGTATTGAAGATGATAGCAGAATGAGGGGTGGGTTTACACCTGGTTGTAGGTTCAAATCCATACTCGATATCAAATAAGTCATCCCCTTTGAATATCAAGACAAACAGCACTATCAACTGATAGATTGCATGCCCTAGTATGTTGCGGATCATCGTACGTGAAATCAATGGCTTGTTACGTCCATATGGCTTTCTTGTTAATAGATCTTCTGTTGGAGGTTCTGTTGCCAGGGCCAACGATGCAAAGGAATCCATAATAAGGTTAACCCAGAGTAGCTGTGTTCCTGTTAAAGGACTGACCTGTGAAATGATAATGACATGTTAAAGATTGTCTTACAGATACCAAATATCATCTACACTAATTATCATGACTTCTACACGTTAGGAGTTCAGTAAGGTAGGATTTGATTTATTTCCAAACAATAAAGGCATCATAATAACAGGATACGAGGACCCTACTAGGTGACGCCCCAAACAACCCTGGCATTTAAGATGTATATTCCTCCCAATAGATTCTGAAAACCTAGAATTATTTATGAGGAACTACTTATAGACCCTTACCTCTACAGTACATGCACCAACAAATGCAATAGTTATTGCAACCAAGTTCACAGTAAGCTGGAACTGAAGGAACTTCGAAATACTGTCATAAACATTTCTGCCCCACATAACAGCCATCACAATACTTCGGAAATTATCATCTGTTAGTATAATGTCTGAAGCTTCCTTTGCCACATCTGTGCCAGCAATACCCTAACAAAATAAAAACAGATATGAAATGGTGTTCAACCTGAGGGCAGTACGAAATGTAATCAAATGTGTCTGTCACATACATACAAAAAAATCACTAGTGTGAAGAAAGTTTGAAAATGTGTACTTAATAAGCATAAAATCTGGGCAACTTATGCTTTAAATACTTAAAGCACGTGTAAGAGTGTTTCATCCTCTATTTAAATATCACAAAAAATAAAATTATCTTTTTAAAAGAATTTGTTATTATTAATTTCCAAATAACAAATCCCCAGAAGCATTATGGTACTCCGTTGTTCTCATATACACCCCCCTCACCAAATCAAAATATATGAAACATATATAATATAGTAGTTAGAAATATGATAAAACGTATTACCATTGCAAAACCAACGTCTGCCTTTTTCAATGCTGGGCCATCATTTGTCCCATCTCCGGTTACTGCAACAATTTCTCTGGCTGGGTTGAGCTTGCTATCAATGATTCCCTTGACAAGAGTGTACTTATCTTGAGGAGATGAACGAGCTAGAACCCGAAGTTTGGGCCAAACTTCATCAAACTTTTTCTGATTCACCTATGAATGAACAGGATTTGCTTAAGGTTATAAAAAAGTAGTGGTGATAACTAATAGAACTAGTGGACTGCGTCACAAAACTTCAGAAATGCGACTTATTCACTCACTTGGAACCATCAGTCCCCTTGAATTGAATGAACACTTCACTTTTAATTAGTCATGCTTCACTTTCCATTTCTCATTTATTGTTTTTTCTATCCCTTTTGTTTCCTTGTGTTTTTTTATACGCTTATTTCTCATGCTTCACTTTCCATTTCTCAGTTATTGTTTTTTTCGATCCTTTTGTTTCCTTTTATTTCTTCATATGCTTATTTCTCATTGGTCACTTTATTTTCCATCTTAGTATTTATTACCCCTTCTCATATTTTCTTTCCACTTACTCCGACGAAGGACTGACGTCCGAAAGGTCAGTTTCACAAAGCTTTTCACAGTTATCCAATTTATCTAGAAGTTCCTACTATTTTAAAAATGGGTGGACTATGGTTGGTAAGTTATATTAATAATCTACAATTTATTAAGAGCATATCTAACATACCCTTCCTGCCTTATCTCTAATTAGCATATTGAATTGTTTTCCATCCAAAACAAGGAAGTCTTTGTCAGCCTGAAGGATACCACATTTACTGGCAATAGACCTGGCTGTGTTAACATTATCACCAGTCACCATACGAACAACTATTCCTGCTTGTTGGCACTTAAGAATGGCATCTGGTACCTAAAAAAAGACAATCATGATCACAATTACTGAACTTACTCTTTTCTAGATAATACCTTTGAGAATATGTTAACATTCTTTCAATATGACAATTTTCTGGTGTTGCCATACAAAAATCAAAAACTCTCCCTTTTTTCAAAGGAATAAATATTGTGACCCTACTCTACTACTCTACTACCCCCCCCCCCCCCAAACACCACTTGAAAAGAGTAGCATGGCCACAGATGGGTGAATAAAAAATGAAGTTGACAACATAATTTCTAAAAAGGGACAAGTCACAGATACCTCATCTCTGACAGGATCTTCAATGCCAGCAATGGCAATACAAGTCAAATTTGTCACAATATTAGCCTCATCATCCCAGTCTATGTCTGTATCATTCTCTAGAAACAACAAAATACAAGCAAATGTACAGCAAATATTCAAAACATTTCCTTTGACATACTTGTTAACATGATAAAGGTATACACATGTTCACCTACCAGGATGGAAATCTCTGTAAGCTAGACAGATGGTTCTCAACCCATAACTAGCCATAGGCTCAATTACATTTTTTGCCAAGTTTTCACGATCTTGTCGACCAAAAGGTGTGGGTGTTCCTTTGGAATCTAATATGTGGCTGCACTGTTTTAGCACCATCTCTGATGCTCCTTTGGAAAACAACCGGTATCCACCATCCTTTAGCTTTATAACAGTTGACATGGATTTTCGTGCAGAGTTAAAAGTAAACACCTTGACAAAGCTTGATTCTGGAAAGTTGTCTCTGTAGTACTGATAGGTGTCTCCTAAATCCAGTATAAGACCCAATAGAGCACATTCAGTTTTGTTTCCAATCTGTGTTGGTAAAGTTTCCCGTGATTCTGGTCCTGGAGGCTAAAACAAAAAAATGTTATCAATAAATAATCTTGGTTTTATAAGTCTACCCCTTAATAGCCAGAGGCTAAAAACTATAGTACTTTCCCTTTTCCACGTTGCACCTAAATTAGGCACTAGATTTTTAATTGTATGTAGAGAAGGTAATAACAAGGAATCAGGGTAAGATCTTGACTGCATTTGTAGTCAAATAGAAAATAATTATTGGTATATTCATAATAAGAAAGCCATTACTTTTCTTCTACAATACTGATTAGCCCATTTGTTTCCTTATAAACCTCTTAGCAAGAATAAATACTATCAATATTTTCTTAATTTACATCTACAGCTGTAAAATTAATTATGTCAAAGACAAAAAGATGCCTTCTGAGAGGTCTATTTTTCACTCTATTTTTCATCTTTTGACAAGTAATGTCAATTCAGACTTTGTAAAATAAGTGAAGACAAACATCAATTTTCTATAAATAAGGATAAAACATCAAAAACTGGCTTCTAACATAGGTTAGCCTCAGTTGAACAAATTTTGTTTTTCATCTGTAATATGAAATTAGCTACAATTCCAGGTTACCAATTGCCTTTGTGCACTAGATATGTATCAGTTTTACTTTGATAGGATATTCTCAACTTTTTTTTGAAATACATTACCATATAACAATTTACCTCTTCCATTCAAACGGAAAACGACATTTTAATTTTCATGTGAAATCATATTGAAAAGAATCCACATCTCAAATTTCCTACTTACATATAAATTTCATAGACACATAAAAAGTCATGTTATTTAACCTCCAAAAATTAAGGCTTATTATGATGAACATGTGTAAAAACAGAAAATGAAGATTTCAATAATACATAAAACATGAATGGAATGACAGACATGCAGCCATGCATGCAGCAAAAAATGATAATATAATATATCATAAAAACAATTATTTTTGTTTTGTTTTCACTTTGCAGCTTGGGGATACATTTCTTTGTGAATTTGGAGCTACTTAGATATACAAAACAGCAGGTGATTGTATCATAGATGCATTGTTAAGGTTGAATTAATCATGACTATTTTTCAATCAAAATGACCTGATCCAACCAAAGATCAAAGATAAAACTTACAAAATAAATTACCATTGGTGAGAAAGATAAAGTACATGCTATCTTATGTATGTATTCAACTGTGTTTCAAAACCCCTGCATTTCAAAAATATAGATAATTTAAAACCATCTTTATTCAGGAGTTGAAGATAAATATCTGAAGATAAATATTTCCATGACCATAGGATTAGTTTGGTTTCTAAAAAATCACAGCAAATGAATAATAGCCTCATCATCTGTCAGCAAATTAAATGGATGACATTTACTCAATTTGTCTTGAGTGACAAAGAAATCTTTTTTTTTTTTTTTTGTTAACAATAATTACTAACAAATGTTAACTAAAATGATTAAATTCATTGGAACTTGTATATGGTTAGACTAATGTTTTGAGAGGATGGGGAAATGACTTGCATATCATGTTTCCTAATGACTTACAAATTTAAATATTCAAAAGGTGTACAGATATCAAATCATGCACTCAACTTCTTCTCATAAAAACATGCAAGTATATAAAGCTATGTTACAGAAACCAATCCAAAAAAATTTTAACTATACTTCTTATAAAAGATGCTTTAAAAGTGATACAGTATCACTCAATCACAAAAGAAATCCTAGAAATACAGAATTGAAACACTTTGGATTTAATCACAGTTCTTTCTCCACCAAAAAAAAATTCTTATCCAATGCACACTTAAGGAGTCAAACAAAATGTAGTGCAAATATTTTAACTGACCATACAAAAGTTTTCAGAAAATATAAAGAGAATAAAAAGAGGATTGGAATTAACTCTACAAGTTAGATTATTGTCTTTGTGTTTGTACAGGCAAGAACAATTCAATTCAATAATAAACATTCACAATAAAGATGCGACCATGGATGAATCCAAATGCCTTGATATTTCAAGAAACTATAAAGCTATGCTAAAACATATATTTAACATTTTAATTCTTTGAACCACTTACCATTATATTAGTTGCATAGCTGCTGTTCAATGCTATTCCTTTACACAGGATTTCTACCACTTCTGTTGGTAACTCACTACCCTTTGGAATACTCTTGTAATGAGTGTCAGCCACGAAAATTTGAACTACAGTCATACGATTGGTAGTAAGAGTGCCAGTTTTGTCAGAACAGATTGCAGTAGCATTTCCCATGGTCTCACATGCATCTAAATGTCTAACCAAATTGTTGTCATCCAGCATTTTCTTTACTGAATAGGCTAAAGATATAGTAACAGCTAGAGGTAGTCCCTCTGGGACTGCCACTACCAACACAGTTAGGCCAGTAATAAATGCATTTACATAGGCATTTAAATGCTTATTATTCCAACTTGCTTTCTCCATAGCATACTTGCGTATACTAAACTGGAGGACCATTACCAAGATAGTCAACAGAGCTGCTGCAACTCCAAACCAACCAATGGTCACTGCCAATTTTGTGAGCTTGGACTGCAATACAGATTTCTCCTGCTTTTCTTCTTTTCTTTTGCCATTTTCTGAGGATGACTCTTTATCATCATCTAAATTGACATCTTCGAAATCACAACTGCCACTGGCCCCCTTGATGCCTGGCGACTGTGGAGGAGCTTCTTCTCCACCGTCAGCTTTATCAACATCCGCAGCACCAAGCAAACTGAATATTATGCCTGACTGTGAGTTGAGTCCAACAGCTGATACTATCATTTTTCCACTTCCTTCCATAACGTGAGTACCAGCTAGGAAGAGTGGATCCTTGTCACCTTTCTTGACCATATCTGACTCTCCAGTGAGGGAACTTTCATCCACCTTGATATCATTGCTTTGTACGACAAGACCATCAGCTGGAAGTAGATCTCCATACTTAATTTGGCATAAATCTCCCACTACTATCTCACTGTTAAGAATTTCCTTGGGCTCTCCATTTCTAATGACAGTAAATTTGTGCTCCCCTTCTATTTTACTTTGCAGTCCTCGAAACTGTTGTTCCTTCTGGTAATCGTTTATAGCAGTTACAAAAGCTACTATGAAAACTGCCACAATAATTGCAAAGCCATCGATCCAACCAGTATTATCCTCGTGGCCTCCACAGTCTTCAGGAGCAAAGATTCCTAACAGCAAAGACACAACAGCAGCAATCATCAGAATAATAAGAATAGTGTCTTTGAATGCATCGACAAGGAACTCTAGGAAGGTCTTAGGGGGTTTCGCAGGAATAACATTCGAACCAAATGTCCTTTTCCTATGATCGATATCTTCAGGGAATCCAGTTATTCCCTTTTCGACAGAGGTATGAAGTTTACGAACGAGTGAGTGTAAACCGCCCATGGACAGCAAATATTCTTTCGCCTCCACCCCTCGATTTTTCATGAGCTCCTTTAGGTCGGCTACGGTAATGTCCGAAAAATCTGCTTTGGTATTGAAATCCATTGAATCGTGAGAGTGAAGCGACATACGCTCTTCTTTCTTCAATTCGTCCTCCATTGCTTCGACTACTACACCTTTTTAAATCACAGAAAATAGTGGGAAGTATTGGGAGTGTGCAAGACGACGACAACAACAGGTCTTGAAAGGATAACTGGACAAATGACTGTCTTCGCACCTCGTTCGAAGTTCAACAACAGGTCACCCAAAAGTAGACAGTCTTGCTTGATTCAGATGTAAGGTTTTAGTGCTCAAGTCCAGTTGTGATGACCAGAAATTGCGAGTACTTTCTTGCAAATACAGGCAGTCCAACAAGCTAGCTACTCAGTATTTTTAGTAAGCTTGCTTTTAAAGTCGGTCAGAAATCACCATGTGAAAATGGCTCATGCAAAGCAAAACACAGCTGATTTCAATTCCAAGCTTTGGCTGTCTTTTTCAAACAAACATTGAATCTCGGATGAATACAGAATCTTTGCTGAGATCGAACAGCAAGCACGTATTCTAAAGAACTAAACAGAGAAAGGCAGTCTGCCGTGAAGACCGTACCTGTTTGAAATGTAGTAAATTTCAAGGAGTGTTTAGTCCTTCTAAGAACCCCTTACTTCAAGACACGGCCTCCTTACATGAAATCCTGGCGTAAGATACTTTCCCTGCGTAGTAATATTGCAGAAAATGTATTCTTTACACGCCTTCAAATGTATTTTCAGCCTTATTTTCCGAAGCTCTTGGCTTCTCGCAAACAGAAGCTGAAAACGAGTAGAAAATTTGCCTACAGGCACGTGATGACCTTCTGCTGATTGGTCCAATTTGAATCAGCGCGCTATTTGATTGGTTCATTGTCGCTATGTTACATTAACGTCACAACCTACCCCCTTTACCGCACCCATAACATAAAGCAATGTGACGAGAGTAGCTGATTGATTTACAAATGAATCCCCAAAACAGAACATTGGGAAAATAATTTCATATTTACCACAAAACGGGCTTTTAAAAAGTACTTCTAATTCTTATTCCTAGATGAAGGATCAATTTTGTGGTAGGCCTTATACTCCAAAGATTAGAAGAATATGAGTGTCTCGAGATGTTTCCATAACATTGCATATAGTTTAGTACAGAATTAAGATTATTATTTTGGGTTGTTTCCTTTTTGAATTTCGTAATTAATTTTCCCTGAGGAAGAAGCAAAGATAAAGTGGCATTATATCTATTCATAGCAAAATGACCGCAGAAAATGGGCTTGTTATAATGCGCCAAGTGGCTACCAGAGTAAAAGCGCTTTTCTGTCTAATCAGTGAAAGCCCAAGTAAAATGTACGTAACAAATAGTAACATTGTAAGGGGAAAAGGTTTCAATATTGTCAACAGTGCACGAAAAAAACTCTATATGATTTTAAAGATTTAGACAGCTTGCCAGATGAAAAGATGAAAAGACAATTTTCAAAACAAAACCTAAATGATTTTTTCCACTCGATCTATTATGCTTTTAATTTATTTAATCTTTTTAGTTATATTCTGATTTATTAGGTGGCTTTTCTGGCCTTGATTCTTTCAGATATTGTTTTAATTAAGTCAAAATTTCAAAGAAATAAACGCGTATGATTAAAAAAATGAATAAATAGCGATATAATTGCCTTTCCTCGTTCATAGCCAGATCAGTAGGTGACGTCATGTGTCACGCAATACCATTCAAGGAGGTCAACAAAAAGAACTTTAGTTTTATATCAGATTCTAATCTCATAAGCAAGCAGGAAAAATCAATTAACTACAATCTCTACCCTGAATAATCGTTTTCTTTGGCTCCTAAACAAATAACAGCATTGGCTACGAGCGACTAGCCAAGAAGGAACCTCCTTAAAACAGCGGAAACGATTTCTGACTCTTCAAAATGGCGGACAGCGACAAACTTGTTTTCAAAGAGGTTCTTCCAAAACAAGGAATATTATTTACAGAACAAACCCCTACGCCAGTCCTATGTAAACCGAAAATAATGCCCATGAAATCAGTAACTTTAGAGAAGCTAGAAAAGATGCAAAAAGAAGCTCAAGAGGCTGTCAAAAGACAAGAACAAGAACAGAAAATGCAAGGACTTTTGTAGTGGATCGTGATGTTTACGACTGTTTGTGAACAAGTTTCATTCTATTTATTTGTGGAACACCATGTTTTTCAATATTCCTTGTTTTCGTTCCAAGACTCAAGGTTTTTTCAAAGCTGGATAAGTGCGTTAGTGGTGTTACTGTGGGCTTACTTCTCCTTGACAACAGCTGTGGCAGATGATATGGGATCAGAGGATAGTATTAGGGGCATCATTCTGACAGTGTATATTCTAAATTGAGAAGTTTTGTTTTTTTATATGTTTCCATGGCAGCGAGGTCATTTATGTTTTGATTATTATTGCACATTTAAGGTACACTGACTGCATTTCATTGTCTAAAAATGTAAACAAATAGCTAATATGGCATATTAAAAACCTTACTGCAAGTGTACTGCAAAGAGTAAGTAATGTTTCTGACTCACAAGTTGTACTACATCATTGCCTATTGTTTTACTTTCAGAAAGTTCACATAGTCACTTAAATGTGGTACGGTGATACCTCTATGGAACTTCATCACACGGCGGCCATGTTTATTCTCATGAGAATAAAAACCTTTGTTTCCCCAGCATAAATTAATTCTCAAGCGCTTGAATTTGAGGCTACACGTGGTGGAATCTATTGTTTAATCCAACATGGCTGCTACGTGAATAAGGCCCATTGAGTGGACACCCGTGGGACCTTCTCTAGTGTCCCCTTAGCAGAGGTTGCTAAATAGTTAACATTGAATTGTTGCTACCAAGAATTGACAAAATATTTGTCAATATTTACTTGTAAACTTGAATTGTTTAATCCCAAAAATTGGCAATGAAGCAAATTTTAAATGGGAACCTCAGAACAATTTTGCCAGATTCAAGTGATGTTAATGTTAATGTTGTATTGAACCCAAACTAGTTGGCTGAGTAAGCCAGTTATAAGTAAAGTCGGTGTCAGTTCAACAAAGGTCCTTATAAAATAACTGTCATAATTCTTGTATTCTGATCAGTTGGGAGCATGTGCTTTATGAAAGCACACAGCTCACACGAGCCCTCTACATTTTAAAAAGAAATAAAAAACTTGCTTGCTGTACTGTGTGGAGTTATAAAGCACTTGGGGATTGGCAGAGCACTAAAAAAGTCTCAAGAAGCACTCCCCTATGCGCCATGCTTCTCCTAACACTTCTCTCTTGTTCAGCCAATACCCACGTGCTTTATAACTGCACACAGCATGTGCATCCTTTTTCTACTTCTTCAGTTTCATATTTAGTGTCTGTTCATCCACTTAATATAGGAGTCCTTTGAATAAAGATTTGTTTAACAGCAAATATGGGGAGAAATTTTTTGGGACCCGAGTTAGTGTACACTTTATAAATGGTGTCCACTTAATAGAGGTACCACAGTAGTGAAATATGCTCATTTTAATGTGCAATTAAATTAAGATAATTTTGATGAATTTAATATATTGTCATTTGAATTGTTCCAGTCAGCATGGCTGTGATGTAAGGTCATTGATAAAAGAAAATATTTCATGTGCCTTACTGATGTGGCAGCCATATTGGCTGGAACGATAGATTCCGCCATGCCTGGCCTCAAGTCCTTGAAAATATGTTTATGCTGTTTAAACCACGGAGGTGGGAGGGAGGAGATGAATCAGTGCACATCTTAAACTGCAGTCAGAGCTCTCAACCAATTAGAATGCCTTATACATTGTTAATATATTCAGTTTCATCTCTATCGCTCTCCCACCTCCCTGTTTAAACAAAGTTTTTTATTCTCATGAGAATAAACATGGCTGGCACATGAGTTAGGCACATTACCAGTAGTTAAATGGTAAAGGACAAAACATTAGTATATTTCAGAACTTTTTGGGACTTAGTTGTGAGCCAAACATCGTTTGTTAGAGGCCATGAACCACTTGATGTCCAGATGGAAGGAATAATATTTGTTTCAATGCCATGAACTTTACAGATTTATAAGGGATATGAGCTGTTCATGTTTTGATTTGGATATTTATGCAAACCCCCCCAATCTTTGTGTCATTTTTATTTCGCTTTTATTTGCCCTTACCCTAGACAAACATGAAAAATTATTTCCAGCTTCCATTTTTTACATATATACATTGATATTCTTGCATTATTTTAACGTTTTTTGGCATACCGTGCAATAACTCTAGCTGCACACATTTCTGATAAGAAACTGATCTGAACATTCAAAATTTCAAGTTTAAAGATGGATATTATTGAATTTAAAGGCAAGCTGATTGCTTTAGAGTTACATCACTCACATGCATAGTCATTGACCTTTTAATAAGACAGCCACATGGCCACTAAAAGGAATACAATAAGAATGCTAAGAATCTTTTAAAGTAAAAATCCTTGCAATTCTCTCTATTTCAGCAGAAGAGAGAGGAGGTTGCCCATCCTTTTTAGCCTTGTACATGACTTGCTTCTTTGAATACTGAGAAATGGTTTCACTGGCCCCAGTATTTCTGCTTACTTCACTAGTTCTTTGCAAAAGTTTTGATTGGCCCTGTTTTAAGTCAGATGCAGCAAAAGAATGTCTTGAATTCAATCGTAAAGCTCTCATTGAATGTTCTAACTGCTCTCTTGGCATAAAAAAGTTTGGGGATTGTGAAAGATAAGTATGTGTTTGAGCTGGTGGTATACTGTTGCCCACGTTATAAACAGAGTTTTCATCAGTACATTTGTAATGTAGGGATTCATTACTATCATCACCATTAGTATCTTTATGAGAATATGGACTCGATAACTCCTTATCAGTAACAGTTATTTCTGTGTCCTCAGTAATGCTATGTGGATTTATTTGGCCCATGGTACTTGAGAACTCTTCTTTGGCATGTTGATCCATAATACTATTTATCAGGGAGTAAGCATTTGAATTTAAAGGAGATTTTCTAGTTTCCTCTTCCTCCTCAGTACTACTTAACCAACTGTCTCTTTCCTGTGTGAACACTGGTGCCGAAGGAAGGTTACTTCCATCTTCAAGAGAATCTGAACCTACATGCTCTTCTAAGTCACTTGCAGAAGAATAATTTTCACATGTTTCTTTGAGGGTGGAAATTCGTATATTTTCGTCATTGTCTTGTGATGAACTAGGATGCTGCACTGAATCCATTGAGGAACCTTCAAAAATTGCATCCCCTGCATCTTTCATTGGTGGGGGAAGTGGGATATCAGCACTTGATGTGTCGTTCTGTTTGCTTAGAGTGTGGCTAATTTGAGGACTGTTTTCAACCAGTTTATCAGCAGAAGTACTCTCCAACTCTCTGTTAGGAATGCTGGATGGGTTTTCTACATGTGATACATTGTCAGCTTCAGAAGTACCTAACAACTGGTCCGTATCTTGATACTCTTTATCACAATCAGTCATGTTTTCACTGGCAATTTCTTGGGTAAAACGGTCCAGAATATTTTTATGAGATGGATTTTCTTCTGAAGAGTAAAGAACACCAGATGATCTATGTGTGGTGGAATCTGTGTACAATTTGGTTTGTAATCTTGTTTGCAACTCATCAAGATCCTCCATGTTTTTCCTAAAATGTTAAAAACAATCAATACTCTTGATGTATACCATACATTCTATTATTTACAACTTGTTTCATAAATAAATGGGTGAGTGTAGTCTTTTGCTTGTGGTGACTGATATTTYGAAAACCTGAGCGGAAGTCAACTTCAGAGTCCAGTGAGAAAACGAGAGAGAATGGATGGTACTTATACCTCTGGTTCTGTCGTAATATAAATGGTAATTAGTCCATAGCATTGTGATGTAAAGATGGTTGGGTGTTATAACAAGTTGCAGTCTTTTGTTTCAGGTTGTGAATGAGTCTATCGTAAGGTGCCGGTAATTGTTGACTTCTGTTAAGCGGTTTTTGTTATAAGTTTGTATACCAGCTTTCAAGTGTCAGACTCCCAGTCAATGTCAACAGTCTTTCTCAAGACTACAATAATTACCCAGAAGTTCAAATTTCAACAAACTTCAAAACCTTGGTTCTAACCATTTACTCTTAATAAATTTATTATAACTGCTCATAATGATATTTAAAGACCTTAGTTGCTTGAAGAGTCCTGATGTAGAGGGCATCACTGGTTCTGTTTTGCCTGGTAATGCTTGAATACCAATAGACTCAAGTGATCTTTCCAAGTGAGCCTGCTCTTGGTCTGATGGCAACTGAACTATTGGTACTTGTTGCTCTTGTTGATCTTGAACCAAACGTTTTCCCTGGAAGAGATAAAAAACAGCTAAAAATAAAGTACACTTTGATAAGGCACAATAAAACTATAAATCTATTGCCTTTACCTCGTTAATGTCTGAGAATAAAGATCCTGTATTTATTCTTGATTTAGGAAGGCAACGGCTTGGTGACACTGGAGCTAACGGTACAACACCTAGCTAATAATACAAAAAAGTCTTTAAGCGCTAAAACATATATTGCAGATATTCCATGTTAGGGCATCCTTCTAACTCCTGTCAATATAGAATGTTTCAAAAACCCAGCCTAATACTGCTTAAAAGCCCTAAAAATTTCAATTTTACATGTAATTGTTTATTGATGGGTGTAAATGGCTCAACCAAAGAAGTTTCACATCCTTTGGGAATTTTAAGTTCCAAAGGTCTGGGACATTGCTGACAAATGGTAATAAATACTAATACCAAAAAGGAAGTTGAACCTATCTGTACCTTGATCTGCCCTTTGCATTTTCCATTAAAGTCCATAATATTATACCAGCCAATCAACTGTCTGAGTCCTGCAGCAATAGGTCCAAGGTCCACACTTGCAAATCCCAGAGGAACATCACCAATTGAAACTGGGGTAGTAAGAAAAATGTATTAATAATGTCAGTATTTGTGCACAGTAATTCAGAATATTTTGTAGTTACTTACCATCTTTGTTTGTTTTGTGCCAGACTTTAAAAATTAGGTTCTGGCGAAGAGACAAAGGTTTTAATACATCAATAAACGTACTATTCTACTGTAAGATACATTCTGCATCATGAACCGATATATCTAGGTACAATATCAATGACAATAGATTAAGTTATGAATAACTAAATAATTAATATGAGTAGTTAGTTACCTGTGTCTTAAGCATAGACAGAGGAAGTTTTTCCAGTTTCTGGTATTCCCACACAGGACTAGAAGATGACTTGCAGACAGGAGTACTAACTTCCAGTGAAGATGGCGAAGTCTGATAGGTAACATATGCATTTGGAGATACCCTGTTACAAAAATAAGAACAGCAACTTCAGATTCATCAATAATAATGTGACAAGAAATGGTTAATGTAAAGGTTATACCTTTTGCTATCAGGTCCTGCAGCTCCAAAATTCAAATGCCGAGCTTCTTGTACAATTATATGTGCAGCAAAGGTATTCAAATCATCCTTACATGGTTGTGTCTCTGAAACAAGATTTCTATCACCTCTTCCAGCTGTAGTTGTATCAGTATTGGATTTGAGAGATTCACCATCATTGTCATCATATCCTTTTGTACTTGGATAATCTTCAGAGCTAATACTGTCTTCCAAAGATTCGTGCTCTCCCTAATGGCAGAGAAGAACAATTATGTAAATTCATATGCATTACTATAATTGGTCTCAGTCTTTGAAAGTACAAAATCAAGCATTATAATCACCATTTTGTTGTAGTTGTGGGAGCTTGCAGTTGGTTTAGCAAGGGAAATTTGAACATGAACACAAGCTCCATCAACAGCATCAACTCCAGCCTTGAACAGAGGGAATGTACCACTGAAACTGAATCAACAAAACAACAAATTAAATGTAAGATCCAAGGGTCAAATATAAAAAAGAAATGCTTACCTGGTTTGTGGGTGATGTAATCCCTTGGTAACCAAGGATGAGAGTTTAATGAATGCAGACCCAATTAGTTTGTCTCTCTGCCCTGGCAGGGAAGCGGTTCCTTTGTTGTTTGGTGATTGGCCTTTCAACCACACCTGAACCTCAAGTTGTTCTTCCTTTAAATACCATACGAGAGAAGATGTTGCTGGTAACATGAAGCACTTGGAATGTTTGATATCCAACAATAACATGTCGTCCTTGTTTTGCTTGATACGAACAACACGAGAACAAACTGGACCTATTTCAAGAACATCAGAGAAAAGCAAAGATTGTGTGTCATGGTTAAGCTTGAATTGCAATATTGAGTCTAAATATTACTTAAGTATAAAATAACTAAGATATAACGCACGCTCTGATTGGTCAATTACCGTTTTATATAACTCAACATAGATTGTGAGGAAATGATGTCAGCAACGCAAGCCATGGTTTATTATTTCTTTTCAGTTAATCGTTAGTTATATCTTAGTTATTTTATAAAAGAGATAGAAAACTCCCCTTGCTGGTGCTATGTTGAGTTATACAAGCACTTGGGAAATTGAGTGAGCCCTCGAGAAGTGCCCTGCTTCTCCTAGCACTTCTCTCGGACTCATGCAATTTCCCGCGTGCTTGTATAACTCAACATAGCATGCGCGCTCGTTTTCTATCTCTTCAATAGATATTTTCTCCATACTTTTATCATATATCTTGTATCTGATATATCCCTTGATTTCCACTTTAGGTTGATATGATTGAGTTTTTGGTATCCAGGCCCTGTTCATCTTAACTGTGAGTGCAATTCCTTTAGGTGTATCTCCATCACTATCTTCATCATCTTTTGAATCCAAAAAGATAACATCTTCATCATCAGCATCTTCTACCCCATTTGGTGGACTCCATCCTAGACTACGTCCTACGTGTATTAGACTTTCTCTATCTTGAGGATCATCAAACTTGATTGATAGCTGAAGACCTCCCAACACAGTACTGTTACCATGGTGATCCTCATCAACAAACATTTCTTCGTGTTGAATGGCATGCCATCCCCTTATTCCTAAAACAATGAAAATTACCCAAATCAACCTTTAGAATAAGAGTCACCTACTGTCACTGATGAATATTAACCTGTTCTGTGTGTCAAAAGGTCTGTTAGTGGAACAATCACCACACCCAGGAGTATGTCATACTTGTTCGGCTTTGTTGGATGATGATGGTGGTCATCATGGTGTTGCTGGTCAATGTTACCAAAACCCCTGGAATCTTGATGCCTACAAACAAATATAACAGTCAAAAGGATTTCTAACTAAGATAAAAAGTAAACTATTATATAAAAAATGCTGTGGAAACTCATTTCTCATCTCAAGTTATCATTGTTTTTAGAAAAAAACAGTCGCTGCTCTATAGCTTACCATACTTCAAATACAGCTTCAGACATCTCCAACATCTCTGCAAGACTAATGATTTCTCCATGATCTTGTTTATTTACATCACATGATTTCCTGGACATTTGTAATGGTGTTGCTATTTCAATGTGGTGAAAGAACTCTGGAGCAAATGTTCTGGCCACAGTACGAGTGACTACTCTCTTCTTTTTACCAATAGGTAGTTTAATAACTACATAAGCATTGACACCCACATCTGATGGGTACAACATTGATGGAAGGTTATGGACAAGGGATTTAGCAGCTCCCTAATAATAATTAAAAAAGTTAGTACTCTCTTCTCAATGGACTCCCCAACAAGAAACTAAAATAACACATGGCAAGAAAGACCAGAGCAAGGGCTGTTTACAAGTTCTAAATTGTTGGTAGAAGAAAAAAACACAATATAATAAAATATATACCTTTAGTCCACAGATCCTAATGATGTCCACTGACAGACAAACTTGATCAAGGGTGGGCTTGTCAGCTATAGTTTGGATTTTATTAGCTCGATATCTAATAGTCACATCAAGTAGTCCAGAGTCTTCAATCACAGTTTGCTTTGAACCTTTATCTTCTTGTGGTAAAACTGTCAGTGGCAATGAAAATGTTTGTACACTGGGTTCTCTGTGTCTTTTCATCGTAACCATGGCACAAAGTTTTGCAACTGGAAGGTTGGCCTATTGTAAAATTGTTATACAATTAAATCCAAACTGGATTTCTTAAAGTATAATATATAGTGAAAACTAGATAATCACCTTAGCAACCAATTGATCCCTAACATTAGGATAATAAAATCTCCTCCACAACTCAAAAGAAATGCCACCAGAACGTGGGATAGATGACATACTGGTCCAAGAACCACTGTACGCAGCCAAGAGATAACGCTGCACAGGTATACCAGTGGGAAGTTCAAATGAATGCCGAGTGGTGTCTTGGAAGGATGGGTCTGGGACACACAGAGTGGTGCATGTATGGTGTGTTTTCAAACCAGGAACCACTGAAAAACAACATAATATGATAACCATTATGATGGTTAGTACTGTAAGTAGAGGCATAAAAGAACATCATGGTCTCACCTTCATGATCAAGATCATCAGTGCTCTGCTGTATTTGAGATGGGAAATGATACTGGACATAGCAATCAGTCTCTCCCCAGACAGTGCTCTTGAATATAGATAATCCTCTGATATCCTCAACTGTGATCTCAAACTGATGATCTGTAAAATCCAATATCATACCAGTATCAAACCATCTTTCAGTTTTTCTTTCATTTATTCACAGCTATCTTATAATTAAAATGATAAAACCTACCAACAACACTGGTATTCCCTGTAATCCTATGATTTAAATTGGTCTGGTTTATCTCTCTGAATATGTTGAGAAAAGTGTATCAGTCAATCAATCTGATGTTAAATATTATTATTACCATTAGTCTACTATTATCCACAAAACATTTAAATCTGCCCCAGCAGTAATTTTGATACCTGCAAATTGTGCTAGATAAACTAATAATCGTATTTGTCATGTGATTGCTCCATCTACTGAGTAGTGAATTGTGATAATAAGACATTTATTCCATACAAAGTGATAACATTGCAGCAAGGTATCTCTTAGACAAGAAGAAATGTTGCTATGCTTGTGCAAAATCATAATTACCTTGGTTTATCAAGGTGATGTGTTTCTTTGATGATATGCATCCCACTTGGAACCTGAACACAACCCTTGATTTCTAAGAGAGAAGTTATCTGAACAACAAGTAAAACATCTCCTTAAGTACAGCAAATTATGGAGTATAATACACAGTTACTTAATGCAGTATACCTACCTGTTCCTCTGTACCCATTGCTAACAGTACTTTAAGTTCCCCATGACTGTGTGTAGTAAAAGGATTGATAACAGGAACCAATCCATCAATGCAAACTACAGGAAACTGAAACAAAATGGATGATATTCATCTATCAATAATTATTGTTATACAATAATTATATATTAGGTAAATCAGTTTTTAAATCATACGTCATGTAATATATAGAATAAAACAAATCAAACCTTGGACTTGATGAGTGTTTTTGTGATTTTTGGATCTCGGAATGACAGGTAAAACTGATGAAGAGGAATCTTGCTAATCCCAACAAGCTGAAATGGAAATAATAAACAATAACTACCTTGCACCCTTTGTCGATTTCAAGCATCTTTGGAATAATAGGATCCTAACCTTCTCTCCTTGTGGAATAACTTTATTCCACACTTCTATCACCATAAAGTTGTTACAAGTTCTCTGCAGAAGAGTGGGTGTAAGCAGTACAGGTGCTACCTTCAAAATATAGTTGATATTCTGTCATTAAATATCAATATCATTAAAGATTATTTACAACAATTAAAATATTTATTAACAACTCACTTGCTTATAGACAAACTGTGGATTATTTGTGCCCCAATAAATAGGTGACTTGGATACCTCATCACACCAGAACATGCGAGAAACCAAGAACAGATTTGCACTTCTTCCACTATTACCAGGAGGTTCTGGGGTGATTTCTTTACCCTCTGGTATCCAAAGTAATGAGTGAAGAGTAATTGTTTCTATTTGATCTTCTAATTCCACTGATTCTCTCACTTGGTGTTGTAACCTGTTTATCACAAATGAACAAACAACATCAGTTTAACTTTTGGAATATGGTACAGTGTACTACTGCAGTAAATATTTGAGTATGTTACTTACTGTCTTGGTAGAGGTGGTTTGGATGTCACTACATCATGCTTATCTGTGGTGCTTGCTGCTGCTACTGCTTTAGACACTATCCCTACATTACTCTGAGTTTGCTGTGGAAGGTATGCAGTGTCTGTAGATTTCTGACATTGTAGTTGTTTACCATCCAATCCTACATCAACTTTCACCTTAATAAATGTGCATAATATAGCATTAACATTAACACTTGATGTTTTTGCTCACTGAGGGAAATGAAATACTTCTAGCAACTTTAAAAATTCTTATTTTTATGAAAAACAATGTAAGAATATTAAGCAAACCTCAAGTTTTCCAGTAATGCCGCTATGAGAATCTTCTGCTAAAGATTGTTGCCATGACAATGATGCAGGATCTGACTTGACTTTCTTGTTATTCACCTCTACGAATGATGCAAGGCTTAGAGTGTTTGACAATAACACTGTTTTTAGTGGCAAAAAACCAACTCCAAATTCTTCTGGCTTTGAAAAGAAATAATTTTTTTGAAATTTCAGAAAGTGATAAAAAATAAATAATATTCCTCAGCATCGTATCAAATTTGTACAAATAAACATAAACTAGCCCGTGGATGATTATTAACATCTGAAGCACATACCATTCTCTGTCCTGACTCCCTCTTCAATATCCTAAAGGTTAATCCCAACCCCCACCAATGCTCTAGTACTGAAGCATTAAATGACACAGGAAAAACTGATCTGTGGTTGAAAATTACAGCTGGAAGGAAAAAGAAAAAAAGGAAAGAAAAATCATTCTGTTTGGTAAGAACCAGATGCACATCAAACAAATGATAATATTTAGCCATTAGAATAGTGATCCCAATTACCATTAGCCATTCTGTGGTTAAGGAAAAAACTGGGGAAAGTTGGCATTGTAGTACATTTTTGGGTTGTTTTAGGGTGACATGCATACTAGCCACCATCTTGGAAATATATCCCCTAAAACAGCCCCACCTTGCACAGTAATGCGACCTCGGATCAATTTTTTCTCACCCTCGGAATAACCAATGAATCTATATAATAGCTATATTTTGAAGTTAGGTACATGTCTGTAAACTGACTCAAAGATCACAGTTCTCACATTCTTTACCTTTATTGTGTAATTTCTTTGATGCAACCCTTGTTAACTCTTTTACTAAGGACACATTCCCAGTCACGTCCTTGGCATTCACAGGGAAATCATACTCCACAAAAAATGTGCTGCCAACATCAATAACACAGATTAACAAGTTATTGAATGTATTGTCAGTAATTATTCAGAATGTATTTTCTTACCTTGGTTTTCTACTTGACATCTGATTTTCTAATGTGCTGTTATCAGTTATTAGTAATCTTTCTACAATAACCCTTGCAGTGTTGACTCTACCTAATGTTGTTAGAGTATCAGTACCCAGCTTGTGCACCATATCATCAGTCCTCTGCCGAGAGTGCAGTGTGTTCTCTAGATCCTTATCATCTGAATTTCTCAGATGTGGCAGTGCTGGTGCTGGTACTCCAGTCCTTTGCTGAGAGTATAGGGTCCCATCTATATCCTCAGTATCAACACCTAACTCATGTGCTATATCATCTGTATTCCTCATCTCTGCTGGTGTTTCAATCCTTCTTTGGGTGTCTAGATCCTCTTCACTTGACTCATCCCCTTTTCTTGATTTGTCCTTTCTGTTCTTGTACTGCTTCACTCGTATTTCCTTGGCAATCATAAATAATTTGGTTAGTTTTATTACACAATATACATTTATTTACAAGCAATATTAACAGTGTAATTCAAGACATTTGCTAAATGTTTTAAATAACATTAAAAGACAGATCAATAATGCTTAAGATATTACAAAAATGTACAATATGCAATGAATATTACAAATAATGAAAGGAGAGTTGTAAGAACTGCACAAACAGGTGAATAATTTCCAGGCTTAGTAGAAATATCAGGGAAAGTTCATGTCTGAGCCTAATCACAATCTTGATATAGGCATTGCTCAGGATACTATTACAATATTATGCTACCTCATCATCATTTTTCTCAGCTGCTATATTAACTGGGCTGCTTTCTTGTTCATCATCATCTGTACTTATCGTAATATCAGTATCGCTGCCTGCTGATTTATCACCCTAATAAAACAACAAAATGAAAGTTGATCAATGTGTATTTTACTGGCAATAAAATAAATGTTTCAGACTTCTAAATATAATACAATATTAAGAATACAATACTATCTCTAGGACACACATAAACCTTGTTTGCTGCAGGTATTCATATATCAGAGAAAAGAAGTTGTATTTCACATTGGGTAGGTTTTTATTAAAGTCTTACTTGTTGTTTATAAAAAAGATCCATCAATAATGAGTCATCATGTAGTGGATCACCTAATTCACTCATATCCTCACTTAAATCAGATAGGTAAGATGAGTGTTCAATCAAATCAACACCCTGATGACGATCTCCCATCAGGAGATCAACCACTGTGTTATCATCACCCACAACTTGTCCATCGCTGTGGTCCAGGACTGGATGGATAACAGCATCAGGTTGACCACGGTGAATACCAGTCTTATTTGATGATAGAATCTCTTGGAATAAACTACCAGGAAGCACATGGCTATAAAGTAAAAGTATATAATTTAAGACCACCTTCCAGTCTACACCATCGCCTGATGAAGACAAGCAGTAGTAGTAGGAAAGTAGTGGTCCTCCCAACTGCCACAATCGTGAGACAAATGAATAAGTAAAAACTTTGATTTATATCCACTATGAACAATCTTTTCCCTACTATATTATTTAATTATACAGAATTATGAATTCCAGTATAAAGCTATTTAACAGGCAGCAAATGCAGGGCTTAAAATAACAGCTGGACATCGGAAATGTCTGCCCAGAATTGGAACTTTTCCTGTCAAATCTTTGCCTTGCCCATCTTTTTGACCTGTAGTGTTGAGCCAGAAACAAGGTATGACCAAGCTAAAACTAATTTATCCTGTCATCATGACTGGCGACTTACTGGCCGTTACTTTAAGCCCTGAAATGGTTCATTGTCTATGTAGCATGTCTGTAGTTTGTGTTCAAAATAATACAAAATCTACTGTTAGAGCCATGACTCACGTTTCTTGAGGACTGTACTGATCTGTCACATTAGTATCATCCAACAAGGTAGACATAGCAAGGCCTTCTCTCAGTCTTTGACCTTTATCAAGAAGTGCACCAATCCAATCCATACTATTATCCTGTAAGTGTTGACTATACTCATGACTTGCCACCATTGTACCAGCATTTTGATTTAGTAAATTTTCCTCATTTTCAGAGGTTAGTTGAGTCTGAGTTACTTCTGTTGAAATATAGGTTTATTAGCATGACACATGGCACAGACAGCTTGATTTCAATAAACCTTACCCTTGTTAATTGCTGACCCAGTATCTAACTGCTGACTAGATGATCCATTATGTTCCAACAAGGATAACAACGAAGGGTCTAGAGAATACTCTAGTCTCTCTGGTGGATCTTCTGAAAACTTCACTCCCTAAAATATCATACAACATAATATTCTATTACCAAGGATAAAAATAGTGGTTGGTCATTGGACAATGTCCAGTAAAAATTGTAACTTGTCCAGTTAAACTTTGCTTTGTCAGTCACTTTGACCTGAGGTACTGTATGGATGCATGAGCTAAAACTAAATTGTCTGTACATCATGACCAGTGACTAACTAGCCATTATCTTTAGCCCTGATTTCCATTGAGTATGATAGATGTATAATGAATGCATGACACAATATGAGAACCTTGGCTGGAGCAGGAGATTCAAATGGATCCTTAATATCTGTTTGGTGTTTAGGATGAATAACTGGTGTTGCTGGATTCAGGTAAGGAGGAGGGGTAGGGTGAGAGCTACTTCTGTCCACAACTTGTTTGTCCAATCCAGTGTCGACTGTTGGAATAGTTGAAGACAACTTGTTGTATGCAGCTGGAAGAATCATACAAACCATAATAAACACTAAAAACAATACAGCGCTGTACATGGTACTCTAAATGAAAAAAACAATGACACTTTTGGACCGACTGCATGCACATACATTTAGGATCTTACAAAATTATTGAAAGGCACATGTTAAATCATAAAAAGAATTGCTTCATCTGCATACACAGAGCATTTATATTATAATTGAAACAAACTTATGGCCATTGTGGCCATCCTCAGGGTTACATTAATACAATTTGTAATTAACAAAATTGTTGCTATGGTAAATTGCATTATTGCAAAACAGCACACACAAGAGAAAATTAAATGAAGAAAAGAAAACAATTATAAGCTTTCTCACCTGATACAGACTCAAACTTAATGAAGACTTGAACATCAGCCACTTTACCAAAAGGACTGATAACAGACATGACAGGAACAACCCTGCAGCAATACCAATGTTAGTAATTTTACCAACAATTGTCGTAAATACTTGATCCATGCTATGCATAATGGTACAGTATGATAGCTTACACATTCACAGGATGACTTGCTGTTAACTGAGTTATTTCTGAAATCAATGCTTTTCCAAAAGGAATTTGTGTAGAAGTATGCACAGTCTCAACAACCAAAGAGCCCATGTCTGGTGACAGCAAAATTAAAAACAGTTTAAAATGAACAAAACTAGAAAAAGGTTTGCCAAGTAATTTATTCAGTACCATTCAAATATGCAGCGAACTGTTTTGGTCCACTGCAGACAGGGTATCTCACAGATGTCCATCGGCTTTTGACATTCAACTTCGCTTGACCCTTTATTAAAGGCCTGAAAATATTTCAATAACATTGGTGTTATGAACGAATAACACTGGACCATAAACATGATCGCATCCAAAGAAAGCTTACCGAAGTAATGCCCCTTCTCCCTGTTCGCCCCACCATCTTATACGAATAGACACACCATCTGGATGCTTCTCCACTGTCCAGGTAAACTTGCTCACAGATACAGTGAGGAAACATCTTATTTGACCTTCGACTGAAGGGGGTAAACTAGTTGATACTGATACTTGCTCATCCTCTGAAGAAACTGAATCTATGACACGAAGATTAAACACATGCAGAAATAAATCAATAATAGTTTCTCGTCTAGTAGATCCAGATCACAAACCAATCATCCTCGGAAGAAAATGCATCAGTGTAACGGAACCAAGGGTAGATGAAGGATAACTTTATAAATAAATCGACAAAACAGCTTTTTACTTACCTTTTCGCTTTAATACTGGTTTTGACTTTTTCCCTGCCTTTCCCTTTCTCTTCATGTTATTACTTCTATCATTAGATCTCTACGAATGATTCCTAATACTTTTAAACTTTGGGATACAAACATCAAACGGAAAACATCCGCCATGTTTTGACTTTCGCGCCATTTTGTTTCCCAGGATGCAACACAACCCAAACTTGCTACCATGCTCTCACAACAACAGGAAGCCCAGTACACCACAATTGATGAATAATTACTCGCTTATTACTGTATATATGCACATATTTATTTTTCAATTGCTCTGTAACTTTAAGATTTTACAATCAATAATACGCATCAGAAGATTATGATTGAATGCGAGTACAGAAACATGAATCGTTTTATTAAAGTAGGAATATGCGAAATACTTTACATATCTACCAGCAACCCCACGCGACGCATTCTGAATATTTACATGGCTTTTAAATATCATGCTCAGCACATTAACATCTTTTCTTCTCTCTTTTTGTTAAACGGGCAATAATAACCTCAATAGATATATTGTTCGTGTCATTCTCATCAGTTGGGTGTGTTAATCTGACTCTCCTCGGGTGCATCATCAATACTTGACTGAATCTTTGGCATAATTCCGTGTTCCCATTTATCAGCACCTTCAAGTTCTCTGCACAGCGGCACCCTTAGACCAATTATCTTGTCGATTACGAACAGCAGAATGAAACTCGTCAAGCCTGTCCAAACTATGATTACCGCTGTCGATAAAAACTGCACACCCAGTAGCCTCCACCTTCCTCCTTTTAATACGCCAAACTCTGTGGATAACTTTTCAAGGTTGTCTACTTCTGAAAACAGCGCCACCGACAACAATCCCCAGATTCCTGCAAAACCATGAGTAGGGATACAGCCCACGGGATCATCAATCTTTAGTTTGTTCATCAAAGATAATCCGAGACACGCCACAGCACCGCCTATGAAACCAATTATGAAACTCTCCCCAGGACGTACGATAGCGCAAATACCTGTAAGAAATTAAATAAAAAGCTATAGTCAGAGATCATTCATGGTCGCTTAGTTGAATACAAGAGAATTATGAACTGTCTCACCCGTTATTCCAACCAGACCACCTAAAATTCCAGTGATAAACACGTCAATCAGGAGCTTGTTGCCAAACAAGGCATAGCTGAAATACGCAAATTAAATACAAGAACATCAAAATACATACATGTATCGATCCGAAGAGTATGTTGAAATATTAGTTTACCTGTACAATGTGGAAAAGATACCGCCTCCAATTGAACCGTTTATGGTAACTACTGCAGCCCTGTAATGAGTTAAAAAAAGTAAACGCACTTAACAACCCTTAATCTACTGCAGGTAACACTAATGCACTTTCTAACCAAACAACACTACACTTTTGGATGCGTCCTGACCTTGAAGCAAGTTTCCATTTCCCTCCAGTTATACCAAATGTGCTGCCACAGTTGAATCCAAGCCATCCCCACCACAACATGAAGGTACCCAGCAATACGTTGGAAGGTGAAGCCATACGCAAATGCCCTGACCCCTCTTCTTTTTCCGAGTCGAATCGACCAATTCGAGGTTTTAACATCATTGTGGCTACTAAACCACTTACTCCTCCTACCAAGTGCACAGGTCCGCAGCCAGCAATGTCAATGGCACCCATCTTGGCTAGCCATCCATCTTTTGCCCATAACCAGTGAGCAGGAAAGCAGTAACATATGGTGTTTATAAACGAATACACCATGTACGCCTTCAAAGAAACCCGCTCAGCCATTGCACCTGATACTATCGTAGTGGCTGTAGTTGCAAAAGACAACTGAAAGAAATACTTAGCGAAAAGACTCATTTCGTCATCATCAGCGTCCATCATAAAGTAACCAAGACCACAGAAAGAGTTGCTATTAATTTGCCCAAAACTAAACGCGAAACCAAACAGCCAATACGACAGCCCACCATAAACAACATCAATGACATTTTTGGCCATTACATTGGTCTCGTTCTTTTTTGATACCATCCCAGCCTCCAGAAGTCCAAATCCAGATTGCATTGTGAAGATGATAAATGCACTTGTCAAAATCCATGTAGCATCATCTGGATGAATAGGCTCTTCTATATCGCTCTGTACAATGATGTTGTTAGTGGTGTTTAGAACTGCTCCCAATGAACTGTTGTTGAACGCCATCAATACCTAAAAACTAGAAATGTTTGATAAAAATTACGGATGAATTCGGTAAGACAGGTATGGTGATCCAAACTTCAAATATAGAGGTATAAAACAACAACTAACATACCGGCTTAAATGAGAATAACAACCATGCAGCCAATAACATTACTTAAAAGTGATTAAGATAAAATCGTGTTTGTTATTTTCAAGAACTGAATGTCAGTATCCATGATAGAGCAACACACAACTGAGCTCTTAATTGATTTTCTTTGAATATTTAAACTGCACCTGTCACTGCCGATTGTTGGTATAGGTTTTAGCGATGTAAGTATTCAATTTATTTTCTTTTAATATATTCAATTTCTGAAACTGATAATTTTGTATGCTGTTCCATCAAATCCATTTTCATCTTGATTTTTATATTCGCATTTTTTTCGATGTTCGACGACAAAATTAAAGAAAGCTAAGACGGAAAGCAAGCATAAAATGAAACGAAATAAACGCCATTCATTTTATGACCGGTTCATCTTCATACAAGCAGCTGTCAGTTTGCTCACACGAATATTAGACTCAGCGGCAACCACGAGTTTGAGCCGATAATTTAAAGTAAAAGCCAAATCAAAAACTAGTAATTATGGTTATCAAGATTTATTACGAATTATAAGTTTTCAGTTAGTGCGGAAATACATCTTCTTGATTTGATATAATTGCAAATATAATCAAGCATTTACCTACCTTTATTTTTTTATGCCAGGCCTAACTTTAACTATGAATTTTTTTTAATTTTCTTAAGATGAATCTGATTTTCGCAGACGGACGCTCAATGCAAGATTTTCATCATGTTTTTCATCTTGTTTTTGTTTTTAAATCATGACAGTCAAGACGGTAACCAGGATGGCAGCCAGGTTGTTCTTCGTGTTGGTGAGCAGCGGCAAACGTTTCATGCTGTTAGATTTAAAATAGAATGATTGACAGTCGTGTGAGCGCAAAGAATGGTGGGTAAGAGACAAATGATGGCAACAATCATGCTTTGAAATCTTTATTTATTGGAAATTATCAATATTTTCATCATGAATATCAAAAAATACTTTAACCTTATGACACCTGGCCGTAGGAAAATTGATTTTTTCAGTTTATGGAACATACAGAAAGATGCGCAATTTTGCATGTATTACAAACCGTGAGCCCTTTGCCCGCGGAACTGGTGGGGGAAAAAATCTTAAAACGGGCTAAATTCAAAAAATAACCACGCAGAGCGAAAGAAGTGCTATTTCTCAATGATCGGGTAAAATTTCGAGGCTTTATTTTACGTTTCAATGATTTTATTCAAATTTTTGATGAATCTCCATACATTTCCTTATAACAGGACACCACAGAAACCAAGCTTGGGCTACCTGTGCCTTAACGTAATAACAATAATAATTTAATCACTTATTTTGCGCGCATTCCATACAATGATCATGCGCGCATTACAATAATAATATTCACCATTTTCCATACGTTGGTTCACTGGTCAAACACAAAGCCCTCAAGCGAGGCGCCAAGGTACTTTCAAAGGATTATTCAAATTTGAACCCTGCAACCTCGACTGAATGCTTTGTGTTTGACCAGTGTATGGAAAATGGTGAATATTTAACTATATAATTATTTAAAAATAAAATGAATAAATATATATTGATATATACTGGAAAAAAACTATCTAAATGCTGATTTAAAAAGGTAGGTTTTAAGATGGCGCATAAACAAATTAACATCTTTAATGGCGCGAAGGTATGCGGGAAGTGCATTCCAGAGAACGGGTGCCGCCACAGCAAATGATCTGTCCCCCAATGTTTTCCTGGTCTTGCGATTAGATGGGGCAAGTAATAAACCTTTACTAGATCTTAACTTAAGTTATAACTTCCCTTATCCTTTATGTTGATAAGTTCTGAGGTGTAATCAGGTGCGATACCATTTAAAGCTTTGAAAACAAATAGCAAGATCTTAAATTGCGTACGTTCTTTCACTGGTAGCCAGTGTAGATCAACTAATAGTGGTGTAATGTGACAATAACGCGGTGCGCAACAAATAAGTCTCGCGGCAGCGTTAAAAACGCGCTGTATTTTATTAAGCTGGCACGCTGGAAGACCACACAATAGACTGTTGCAGTAATCAAGAAGTGATGTTATAAAAGCATGCATAAGGCAATTCGTTATAAATACAGGTCATTATACCTACTCATCCAGGATTGGAGTCTGAAGTGACCATACTTCTTGTAACCGTCAAGGATGCTATTCAGTCTTACTGGCCCAACTAGTTCCAGTCGGCCTGCAGTACGTACGGGGTCATTACCCTAAGTATATTTCAGCTTCTAGTACGTTGTAGTTTATCTTGTCAAGACAACCGGGTATTAATTTATTAAAGGGTTAATAACGCGGTCCTCCCGTATCAAGGACTCCTGCTAATAAGCCCATCATGGAATACATGGCAACTACTTGCTATCGATATAGATCGATATTTGTTGGAATAGGATTCCTAAACCCCTTCCCTTCCCTGTGGCCAAATAAAATATCAACCAATGAATGCAATAACAGCTAACTCTAAAGTGTATTTATTCTAGTCACACTTTGTTTGGATGCATCATCATGAATTCTGTTGTACAAAGCTACAGTGACATCGAATCTAGAAGGTACATTCAATAATTCAGACGGACAATTGTATGCACGATGGACTGGATGCTCGAGGTACGATCTTTCCGAGTAAAAAATGGATTATTACGAGTAAATTACATATTTTTGATATTTTCAATTTCTACAAACTTAACGCTATGATATGGGTGTTTTTGAGAATTACTCATTATTTTGTAGCAAAAGAGTCGCCGGTAACATCACTGGTGTCGCCCAGCAAATATTATTATATTATACGCGATTTTAAAACAGTTACAGTACTGGTTGATAAAAGTCACTTAGAAGGCCAGTTATGCTGCAAGAAAATGTTTGATTCTATATAAAAACCATATCGAATGAAATAAGATGAGAGGTTGTATAAAATACGCTATGACGATGATATGTATTAGTACAATTAAAGCGATTAGGATCCAAGGTTTGGGCTTGGATTTCATGTGGATTTTCTTCTCTTAAACTTCAGTGTACTTCTCTCCTACAAATAAAGATGAACACAGATGATAAGCAACTATTAACCATGAGGTGGGATGTACTAAGGAAAACGTTTACTATCCATTACACGTTTTACGATGGTAAAGGTGATTGGACATAACAGTGGCAGTAAAAGGTGCATGAAACAATCACAACATTTTAAATAATTTTTTTGCTTTTCTCTTAACGATTACATAAGTTATGCAATGATTGATAGTGCAGTTTTCGTATGACTGTGAAAAGTTCACGGCACCACCACGGTCGTGACACAACAAGGGATACGCCAGACAAATCACATTGCACGAGAATTTACTCTCCATCCAATCAAATACCCGGAACACGGCATAAACACGGCGCGGGCACGGTCACGCCAAGATCATGGCATTTTTAGACCAATCATATTGCGCGTGAAAAAAATCAGCCTATTAAAATTCTAGAAAGTATCACGGTCACGGCACGTCACGCTTACAGCACTGAGATTTTCAGTCATACGAAAACTGCACTACACAACAACAACTGGAGAGTCCTAGGTTAACGTGTAAATGGAATAGTTTACCTTCATTTGTAATGAAGCAATTTTCACAATGAAGCAAAGAGTCTGAAACCATTAAAGGACTGCGCTGCTCTTTCGATCCAAAGATAACCTGACAGACAACACAACGGAAACATTTCTTGTGCCAATAGCGATTTAATTCTTGGACAAACAAAGCAGTGTCTTTGTTGATAGGGATTCCACAGCTTGTACACACGACACGTTTTTGGTCGGCAGCAATAAACGTTTCATAGATAGAATACCGCGATCCATCTTCAATCTTTGTCCAGTTAGTGTTACTGTCTGTCTGAGGTCCCTGCTGACTGGCAGCATGTATGTGGACGTCTTCTCTAGAAAGACTCTTTTTGTACTCTTCTTCTTCTCGTTGCTGCTGTTCCACCATCTCATGGACACGTCGTTGCTGCTCGAGACGATGTCGTTCTCTTTCTTCTGGTCCAAGATGCTCTTGTTCTCTGCGATGTCGTTCGCGACGTTCACGTTCTCTGCGCTCTTGATCGAGACGTTCCTGTTCTCTACGTTCCCTCTGAATGCGTTCTCTCTCGTAACGTTGGCGATCACGATAATCGTGCGACTCACGCTTACGTGGATCATAACGCTCCTCATCACGATGATCTTGACGCCTGTGTGTGTCACGTGGGTCGTGTCGCTCCTCATCACGATGAT